CCCCCAAAACCAAGCGTCCTCGGCTTCAGAGGTGACCGGCCTTTCAGCTAAAGGCCGTAGGAGCTCTTTGGCGTGGTGCCACTGAGCAACAGAGAGCCGTAGAGAGTAGTTTCACTCACCAGAGTAGAGAAATGGTGTGGACGTGGATGTGAAGGCAGCAATGGTATCGATGCGCTGTGTCTGCAGCAGACAGACAGGTTCGCAAAAGGCCACCAGAACTGTGGGTATTCCTCAGAGCAAAAAGGGAAAAACAGAAAAAGAAAAAAAGGAAAAAAAACAGAGAGGAATCCCAGCTATCCTGACTTTAAGCCCTTTATCCAAGTCACGACACCATTTATGTTAGGTTTTTAAAAAGAGGTAGCCGAGTAAGAACAGCACCACGCACGTGGTATTCAGGTAAGGGGTAGGTTTATTCATTGTTCCAGCTGGCACCAGGCCATCTTGGTCCTCCACGCAGTGGGGAAAGGCGTGGGAAAAAGAGCTGGGAGAGCTGGGAAAGAGAGAGAGCTGGGAAAGAGGGAGAAAAGAGAGCATCTGGGAAAGGTGGGAAAGAAAGAGCTAGGAAAGACAAGGGAGCTGGGAAAGAGAATAGAAAGAAAGAGCTCAGAAAGAGCTAGAAAAGAGCAGAGAGAGAGCAGAGAGAGAGCAGCGAGAGCTGGTCTGGGCCTGGGCTAGGCCTTATCTAGGGTATGGGCAGACAAAGGTGTGGCCACATCAAATTCAGATGTGACCTCAGCAGATGCAGATGTGACCTCTTCCAGGTGTCCCAGTTGCCTAGGAACGCAGGTACTGGGTGGAGATTTTGCTGTGAGGAGGGTGGAGTCTGCTAGCCATCCAGGAGCAGACCTTACAGGGTTATAGGGTTTTTATAGGGTAGTTAGATTAAATGGGTTGTGTAGGAAGCTTTTGGCTACAAGCTGTTTACAGAATCAAAAAACAAAAACAAAACCCAGGGTTGTTTATCTTTTTTAAAACAATGTTTAAGCTCTTAGTTATCTCCTGTATTCTGGGGCAGGCTGACCTAGGCCTGCTTTTGTTATATGGGAATTCAATCACAAGATACTGTGAAGTCATGTTTTGAGAGCTGGAGACTTACTTCCCAAAGAATCTATAGCCCTTAGCATTAAGGGCTAGCACAAAGCTTGTAAAGGCAAAAAGCACACTTAAGTGTTATATATAAGCAAAGCAAACTAGCTAGGGGAATAATCTGGGGTTTAGGGCAAGAATTCTCCAGAGTAAGACTTTGCTGGAGCTTAGGGCAAGAATTCCCTGGAGTTAAACAACAAGACAAGCCAGCAATTCAAAGAATGACCTATTTCACCTCTAGAGTTTTGGGAACTGGGTGAAAATTTCCCTCATCTATTAAGACTCCAAGTTATGGTGATGATAAGATGAAGTTACTTAGACCTAGTATCCATGTTAGCGAAATGAGCTCCCTTCCCATAGCTTAGTCCACTCCTTCCCTTCTCCACAGCTTAGCATGCTCCCTTCCTAGGCAACAGTAGGCCTAAGTAGTAAAGGCAGTAAATAATCAACTTCCAACCCCCTTTACCTTGGGATGGCACTTCTCTGGGGCAGCTACCACCATATAAGACAACAGGAGCCCCTTAGAGTGACCTTCAGGTCTGGGCAGCTGCAGGACCCTTATCTACTATTTGGACAGCAGCCGTATATCCTAGTCTGCCATGATGAAGCCCCTGGCTCACATGTCCACACTAGGGTCTCCGCCTCCTAGCCCCTTCTAGCCCCTCCTAAACCTCCTAGGTTATATAGGTCACCTCAGACAATAGCCCGTGCTTCTTCTCACTTCTCCCTTGTGAGAAGGGGTCTTGCTAGCCCCCTTTCCTGGCAATAAACCTTTCCTTGTTCTCTGTACCTGTATGTCTGCATGTGGCAAAGTCTAATAATCTTTCAATCCATAAATGAGTAATTTTTCCTGTTCAGTAAGAGGGTTGTTTAGGAAGGTCCTAGAATCTTGCCAACTTGATACATGAAAAGTGCCAGGCAAAGCCACTGGGTGGTTCAATCTGAGCGATGCAACCAGGACCTGTCTCATGCCATTTTTGTGAAATAAAATAACATTTAGCTGTTAGGTTTTTTCCAACTAAGTTTTGTTTCTTAATCTGTGTCCCCTGTGGCCAAATTGCAAAGACATGGAGTCATTTCCCCCTACACAGCTCTTTAAAAGCTCTCAGCCTATAAGAGAGATGCTCTGTCTACTCTCTCTCCCAAATTGAAATATGGATACGGTGTATTGAGTCTAAGTGGCGCCATCTTGGTGGATGATGGGAACTTTCTGAAAACTCTAGAGGTGAAATCCCAACCCTATCCCCTCCCCTAAATGATGGGCACCTGAATTCCTAAAAGTAGGGGCCAGACTTGGACATTATTCCCAGACCTGCCAGACTGTACTGTGAACTTGGGAGCCTCTCCAAACTCTCCAGCTACCTGTGGCCCTGACCATAACACTATTTAGGTCCTGATCACCATTTTGCACCATACCTCCTATCTCCTGATTCTCCTCAGGTCACCACGGCATACCTCTTCAATTCTCCATTAGAGTTGATCAGTTTTGTTGAGATTGTTTTTCTGCTTTTTTGTTACTACCTTAGTAGTTTCCTAACAGTATTAAATGCATTTAAGGCTTCAAGATTTTGGGGGATGTGTGTATACTCCCACTGGCCAACTTTCTAATACTCACGATTCTACCTCTCAGAATGTGGCTTTTCTGTATCTTGTGATGGAATTCCTGTTTAACAGAATATACAAGGTCTGGCTGGTTGTTGAGTTCCTTTTTTTTTTTTTTTGACCTCTTTTCCCTTTTTCCTAACACTGAATCTCTCCCATGCCTTAGTTCTCTCTCACACATTTTTTTTTGTGTGTGTGGTGGTGGTGGGGGTTGTAACTTGAACTCAGAACTCAGGGCCTGGACCCTGACCCTGAGCTTTTTTACTCAAGGCTAGCGCTCTACCACTTTGAGCCACAGTGCCACTTCCAGTAATTAATTAGTGATAAAATTAGGGGTAATTTATTAGTGATAAAAAGTGTCATACTACTAACACCTGTGTGAGACTTTCATTTTTCTAATGTCCCAGAAATAGAACTCAGCTCATACCACTGAACAGAAGACCTAGGCTCAATCCTATAATTCTAACTATATAAGAGGCTGAGATCTGAGGAACCCAGTTTGAAGCCAGCCTGGACAGGAAAGTCTGTGAGACTCATCTGGGTCATTTGGGACTTCCTCCGGAAGTCATGTTAGTTAAGTGTCTGTGGCTACTTATCTGTGTTTGTAATGTCACTAATTTTATTTGTGTCCTATATATGCCTCCTTATTCCTTTTTTTCCAGGATGGGACAAGAAGCCTGTGTGTGTTCACTCCTGGAATGTATGATTAACTTTTTTTCTTTTAAAAAAAAGGCTTTGGGTGGGGCACTGGTAGCTCAGAGTAGCTAATCCTAGCTACTCTGGAGGCTGAGATCTGAGGATTGTGGTTCAAAGCCAGCCTGGGAAGGAAAATCCATGAGACTCTTTTTTTTTTTTTTTTTGCTTTTTTTTAATTGTGAAAATACCATACAGAGGAGTTACAATTACATGGGCAAGATAATGAGTATATTTCTTATCAAGCATTGTTGCCTCCTCCTTTGTTTCCCCTTCCCATATCCTCCCCCCCCCATGAGACTCTTATCTCCAACAAATAATCAGAAAACCAGAAGTGGTGCTGTGACTCAAGTGGTAGAATGACAACCTTGAGCTGAAGAGCTGAGGGACAGTGCCCAGGCCCAGAGTTCAAGCCCCATGACTGACAAAAAAAAAGGCGTTGAGCTTGGATATTCCTATGATCTTTGTCATCTTCAGACCCTCTGTGAATAAGAGTACCCTTCTTTTGATGTTGGTGGCCATCTGAAGGAACTTTTGACCTCCCCACAGCATATAGGGTTCAGCGAGTCATTTTTGAAAATCCTGGATATCCTGATCATGTTCCCTATATCATGGTGTGCATTGACTTGATTACTACTAAGCCTTCTTGGCTTAAGGAGTGTTTAAAACAATGTCCTAAAGTTCTTGTAAGCAAAACTAACTGCTGGGTGCCAGTGGCTCAAACCTGTAATCCTAGCTACTCAGGAGACTGAGATCTGAGGATTGCTGTTCAAAGCCAGCCTGAGCAGTGAGTCCGTGAGACTCTTTTCTCCAATTAACCACCAGAAACCAGAAGTAGGGCTGTGGCTCAAGTGGTAGAGTGCTAGCCTTAAGCTGAAGAGTGCAGGAACTACCCTCAGGCCCAGATTTCAAGCCCATGACTGACAAAACTAACAAACTAAACTAACTGAAAAAATCTTCTCCCCCACTGTTACAGGATTCCCCAGAAGAAGACTCTCCCCCTTATTCTGTGCCATCAGCTCCTCTGATGTTAATTTTCCCCCATCCTGTCCCCACACCAGAAGTGGTCCCTTGTACTAACTTGAGGGCTTGCCCAAGGATCAGACCACAGCCCCCTTACTACCCCTAAGAGAGACACCAACCCCTGGGGGAAACTGTGGGAAGGACCCCTTTCTTTCTCTCTTTCTTTCTTTCTTTCTTTCTTTCCTCCTTCCTTCCTTCCTTCCTTCCTTCCTTCCTTCCTTCCTTCCTTCCTTCCTTCCTTCCTTCCTTCCTTCCTTCCTTTCTTTCTTTCCTTTCTTCCTTCCTTCCTTTCTTTCTTTCATTATAAGATTTATTAGAGGGGCCATATCTCCCCTGTGAATGGGAACAATATGGCATCTACCCCTACCCAGGTGATAGCTCTGGGGCTAGTGGTGAGGTAAGCGCACAGGTGGGTCTGGGCAGAGAATGGGAGTGGCCACCTGTATGGCAGGAACTTTAGGGCAGGGAAGAGCTCAGGACTGGGTGGAGCTGAGGACCCCAGGTGGGGATAATGCTAACAATCCCCACTTTGTTTAACAACAACAACAACTAGGGGTACCAAGCTGGGAGTACAGGCAGAGGTCATCTCCTCTGGAGCTACTTCCTGCTATAAAGGAGCAAGGTAGTCAGGGGTCTCTGATTTTTGGCCAGGTACCATCCAAGAAATATTTGCTTGACAGTTTGGTTGGTAAAGGTCCTCATCTTTGCCATGAGAATAGTTATCTATAATGCAAAACACAATTAGTCAAAGGCAAAAATTGTTTCTAGCAGTCCCAAAAGAGAAGCCAAGGAGGGACTGATTCCCAGAAAGGGTTATCAAAGTCTTGAGATTGGACAGGCCCCCTTTCTAATATATGTTCCCTTGACAACCAGTGACCTGTATAACTGGAAATGACAAAATCCATCCTTTTCTGAAAAACCTCAGGGGCTCATCTCATTATTGGAAACAGTATTCTTGACACACCAGCTCACCTGGGATGATTGCCAGAAACTTCTACAGGTGCTTTTCACCTCGGAAGAAAGGGAGCACATCCAGTGCAGTGCTTGGAAGGTAGTCCTTGGACCAGGACCCCGTCTAGACTCTGGAAAGAGCCAGGGAGGCCCTTACCAATTATCTCCAGACTCTGTTAGCAGGGATACGAGCAGCAGATAAGAAGGAAGCCAACTAATTTATCTAAGGTGAGTGAGACTGTACAGCTCAATGAGTCCCCCACTGCTTTTCTGGAATGGCTCTTGGAGGCCTATAGGACCTACATGCCTGTAGATCCTGAGGCCCTGGAGAATCGAAGAGCCCTAAATATGGCCTTCATTACCCAGTTAACCCCAGATATTAGGGAAAAAAGCTTCAAAGTTTAGAAGATTTTGAGGGAAATGTGTTATCTGAACTGGTAGCAGTTGCCTAGCAAGTGTTTTATAACAGAGATACCCAGGAGAAAACAAAACAAAACCAAAACAAAAACAGTTGAAAAAGCAGGTTCTGGACTGGAAAGATCAACATTGTGAAAATAGCAATACTTCCTAAGGCTATCTACAAATTCAATGCGATACCTATCAATATTCCAACCTCATTCTTCAAGGAAATAGAAGAGGCAATCCAAAAATTCATATGGAACAATAAAAGACCCCGAATAGCAAAAACGATCCTCAACAGAAAGAACACTGCTGGAGGAATATCAATACCAAATTTCAAACTCTACTATAAAGCCATAGTAATCAAAACAGCTTGGTACTGGCACAAGAACAGACCTCAGGACCAATGGAATAGAATTGAAAACCTAGAAATGAACCTACAGACCTATAGCCATCTAATCTTCGATAAGGGAGCTAAAAAAATAGAATGGAAGAAAGACAGCCTCTTCAGTAAATGGTGCTGGCAAAATTGGTTAACTACTTGTAGAAAACGAAAGCTAGATCCTTATATATCACCCTGCACCAGAATCAACTCCAAATGGATCAAAGACCTTGGAGTCAAAGCAGACACTCTGAGAACATTACAGGATGGAATAGGAGAAACCCTAGGTCTGCTTGGCACAGGCCAAAATTTTCTCTTTTTTTGGGGGGGGGGGGGCGGTCCGGTCGTGGGACTTGAACTCTGGGCCTGGGCACTGTCCCTCAGCTCTTCAGCTCAAAGCGAGCACTCTACCACTTGAGCTACAGCACCATTTCCGGTTTTCTGGTGGTTTATTGGAGATAGGAGTCTCACGGTCTCTCCTGCCCAGGCTGGCTTTAAACCGAGATCCTCAGATCTCAGCCTCCTGAGTAGCTAGGATTACAGGCGTGAGCCACCAGTGCCCGGCGCATCTGGGTTTCTTGAAGCCACTGGCAAGTGCTGGCTGCCAAGGAATGGAAATCCCCATTCCAGGGGACACCCCCTGAGACATTTCAGTTCCCTGTGGTCTTTCTGTCATTCTGACAGCTGGCTCATGGATGCCAGACATGACATTAAAAAATCTTTTTAGAGTCATTCAGAAATCTTCCAGAAGTAAGTCTCTGTCTTGTTGTAGTGAGTATTATGGAATATTGACATAGTATGTTATTTTTTTTTTTTTTTTGGGGTCCGGTCGTGGGACGTGAACTCTGGGCCTGGGCACTGTCCCTCAGCTCTTCAGCTCAAGGCTAGCACTCTACCACTTGAGTCACAGCGCCACTTCTGGCTTTTTTTTTTCTTTTTGCTTATGTGGTGCTGAGGAATTGAACCCAGGGCCTAAGGCATGCAAGGCAAGCACTCTACCACTGAGCCAGCTTCCCCGCCCCACATAGTATGTTATATATTGAGTATATATATATAGAGAGAGAGAGAGAGAGAGAGAGTATATATAAATATTGAGTGTGTGTGTGTGTGTGTGTGTGTGTAATGATAGGAAATATTAAGCTGTAAAATTAGGAGTTAGAACTCTGTAATATAGAGATAAAGACACACCCAGGGAGCCTATAGAGCTGACAGAGCCCACAGTGATAAGCAGGCATGGCCAGAAGTGAAGCTATCAGCCAGGCAACCAGCCAGCAGTGATAACCAGACACAGCCAGAAGCAAAGAAGCCCAGTCTAAAACATATAAAAACCCAGAGCAGCAGACATGGAGTGAGACGATTCCATGGAGTGAGTCGTCTCACTCCATGTCAAACTGACCCTCCACTGGAACCTGCCCCAGCAAGGTGGCCACTTCTACCTCCGACCATTTGAAGCAGCCGGGAAGACACCCTCAGAGGACTTCCCTGGACCTCTTGAAAGACCCCAGCCCGTGCTTACCCATTAGGTACCCCAAGAAAGACTGCTGCCCCTCACCCTACATACCTAAGAGAGTGGGGCAGGATACGTGCAGGCCGCTAACCAGGAAACGAAACCTCGGGCCTCTGAGTCACCGCCTGCAGACCCTAGCATGACCTTAGCACATGCCTTAAAACCAGGCATTCCGGTAAAATAGCCGACCAAACCATTCCTTCCTGTAAAACTTAGCCCTAATACTAGGGTGAGGCAGGATGTGATAAATCACTTGTCAAAACTAGGGAACAACCAGTTTCTGTGCATAACGACCAGCACAGGCATGTCAGGGCAAGTACTGACACGTCAGCCCCCCCCCCCCCCCCCCCCCCCCCCCCCCCCCCCGGCCTCGCCTACCCCGTCCGGGCGATTTAACCTGACCAATCCCTACCTTAAGCGTAATTCAAAAATAACCAATCAATACCCTGTAACCATGCATCTCGCTTCTGTAACCTTGCTTCTGCTGCCCATAAAAGAGGATGCTTTCATGCATCAAGGCACGCAAGTCTCCCGATAGACTTTGTCGCCCCGGGTACCCGTGTAACCGGTTCCCAGACACCCGACCCGAACCTTGTGGATCTCGAGGACGAGTGCACCTGGGAGCCTAGGCATGCCCGAATAAACCTCTTGCTGTTTGCATCCGCACAAGTGGTCTCGTTGTTCCTTGGGGAAGGGTCTCTTCAGATTGAAGGACACCCCACCGACGGGGGTCTTTCACTCTAGACCAAGTGATGTGCCATGTGAGCTCCCGGGGTGTGGGATATGCTTAGTAGAACTAGGCCTAGAGTTAGTTACTGGTGTGGATTATATTTGAAGTGTTTGAATAACTTGAGTGAAATTTATTAGTCTAAGCGTGATGCCATATGCATGCTTAGCACACTTGTCTAATGTCTGCATGTTTTTTTTTGTTTTTTTTTTGGGTCCGGTCATGGGGCCTGAACTCTGGGCCTGGGCGCTGTCCCTCAGCTCTTCAGCTCAAGGCTAGCGCTCTACCACTTGAGCCACAGCGCCACTTCCGGCTTTTTTTTTTTTTTCTTTTGCTTATGTGGTGCTGAGGAATCAAACCCAGGGCCTCTGGCATGCAAGGCATGCGCTCTACCACTGAGCCACCTTCCCAGCCCCTGTCTGCATGTTTTCTGGTTTCTGGGAATAGATCTGTCTGGAACAGTGGAGGTAGTAGGGAGTGGACTCACTCAGTAACCCATCCACAACCTCCAAGGGTGCAAGAGCACCATGAGGTTCTGTAGGACTGTTGTAGGGTGAGAGACTACCTGGGCATGGCACTGTGGTTCGGGGACACCACTCACCTGGTACCTAGTCTGGCTGTGGCTGGGGGAGGTCTCTAGATTGCCCACCCAGCACCTGCTCTCATACAGTAGAGAGTTTGGCTTGCTGAGTAGGAGTGGCAGGCTCACTCAGCAAGCCCTGAGTTCAGATTGCTGAGTGAGAGTGGCAGGCCCACTTGGCAGACTCAGTGTCCTGGTAGGGATGAGCTGGGGACCCAACTCAGCTTTCACTTTTTGTTTTGTTGTTGTTGTTTTTGGTTCTGCTCATGGGGCCTGAACTCTGGGCCTGGGCACTGTCCCTCAGCTCTTCAGCTCAAGGCGAACACTCTACCACTTGAGCCGCAGTGCCACTTCCGGTTTTCTAGTGGTTTATTGGAGATAAGAGTCTCATGGACTTTGCTGCCTGGGCTGGTTTTGAACTGTGATCCTCAGATCTCAGCCTCCTGAGTAGCTAGGATTACAGGCATGAGCCACCGGCACCCAACTTTTTTTTTTTTTAAACAGCATGCAGACAGTTTTTATCTTGAACATGTCACACTCACCTACATACATGTACTCACCTACATACATGTACTCATACACACACAGTCATTCACAAGGATCTTAAAACATGCAAAATGAATATCTGGCCATTCATTTTCCAAAGGCAAGAGATATTTTTGCCAGTCTTCCTCTTGCAGATGACCACGATTTAAGACAAAACTTTGTCGTATGTTGTTTTTTTGGTCGGTTGTGGGGCCTGAACTCTGGGCCTGGGCACTGCTCCTCAGCTCTTCAGCTCAAGGCTAGCGCTCTACCACTTGAGCCACAGCGCCACTTCAGCTTTTTCTGCTTATGTGGTGCTGAGGAAGAGTCTCATGGATTTTCCTGCCCAGGCTGGCTTTGAACTGAGATCCTCATAGCTTAGCTTTCTGAGTAGTTAGGATTACAGGCGCCTGGCAAAATGTGGCTTTTTTAAGCAGGATGGTGAAAGGGAATAGTTGTTACCCAGTGTTTTAAAGGGTTGTTTAAATACAAATTAAAGTGGCTTTGGGAGAAGGAATTAAAATTGGTGTCCCCTCTGTAAAAATTTGGGAAGTAGAGGCTGGGAAGGTGGCTCAGTGGTGGAGTGCTTGCCTTACATTCATGAGGCCCTGGGTTCGATTCCTCAGCACCACATAAGGAGAAAAAGCCAGAAGTGAGGCTGATGCTCAAGTGGTAGAGTGCTAGCCTTGAGCTGAAGAGCTGAGGGACAGCACCCAGGCCCAGCTTTCAGGCCCCACAACCAATCAAAAAAAAAAATTTTGGGGGGGGGAAGTAGTGGTGAGTGGCTGTCTTCCTAGAAAAAGGGAATTTAAAAGGAAAAGTAAGGGCTATCAAAATGATTTTTTTTTTTTTTGCCAATCCTGGGGCTTAAATTTAGGGCCTGAGTGTTGTCCCAAGTCTCTCTGTGCTCAAGGCTAGTTCTCTACCACTTAAGCCACAGCACTACTTCTGGCTTTTTCTGTGTATTTGGTAGTCAGGAATTGAACCCAGGGCTTCATGCATGCTAGGCAAACACTGTACCACTAAGCCACATGCCCAGCCCAAAATGATTGTATTTATTGCTATTCCACTTTGCCTTGCAGGTTCTCTGCAATAATTTCAGGCAGGCCCACAGAGGACAGGTGATTTATACTTTGGTCAGGTATAACTTTGGCCTTTAACCTAGTGACCACTTCATTGCTTTTAACTGAAGTGGCTTTTTTGTAAAGACTTGTTGATCTGAGAATTGTGGTTCAAAGCCAGCCCGGAAAGAGAAAGCTCCCTGTGAAACTGTCAGAGCAGAGTGCTAGAAATGGTGCTGGATCTCAAAGTGACAGAGCACCAGCCTTGAGCTGGAGAGCTGAGAGACAGTGCTCAGGCCCTGAGCTCAAGTCCAGTGGCTAACCAAGGGAAATGCCAATGGAGCATTTATCCCAGTGTGGAGATACTCCTGGGACAAAAGTGACAGAGCATCCAAAGGCAGTTAAAAGTCACTGCTTGGATGGTATAAATGATGTCAGCTACATCCTGATGTCATTTGTTTAGCCCTTGAGTTAGAGCCTGGAGTTCATAGGAAGCATGCCTTTCTAATGCCCATGTCTGTCTGCTTCATAGCTGGGCAGGAACTTGCCAGTCATCTATGACAGTGGGTAGTAAAAAGCTAAGGTTGTCAAGTGTGGGGGATAATTTATCCCAACTCCTGTATCTGCTCAAAGCCCAAACTGGCAATCATTTTGGGCTGATACCAGCTACATAAATTCAGGACAGGAAGATTATGGACCCGAGATTGTGCCTCTACTGAGATCTGTCTAAAGGCTGAAATGACCCTGGAGTTGAGAAAAATCCATGGAGGCAAGGTCAAAGGTGAGTTTTATTAGCTGCTTACAACTATCTTGCTCTGGGCTACCTCAGAACTAAGAACCGCTATGACCTCCAAGGGGATGAACTTCTTTCTCCTCTCTCTCTCTCTCCTCCTTTTCCTGGAAGGCCTTGACCTGCAGCAGCTCCTGGATAGGTGGTCCTGGCTGCTCCCACCAGTCTCCCACAGCCCTCTGCAACTCAGGGACATACTTCAGTGCCTGTCCTACACTCTCTCTCCCTCTCCAATCCCACTCCTCAGAACATGCAGCCTATATGTATAGGGTGCCCCGCCCCCAAGTCCCCTACTGTCCAACCTTCAACAGCTCCAACTGCTGCAACTGCCCTTTGATGTCCTGCCCCCTCCAGCAGCTGAGGCTACGTGGTAGTTACGTCACTGAAGGGTGGGACTTCTGGCCCGGCTGAACCTCCTGAGTCTTTGGTTCTCACCTGGCCTACACAGGTAACTTATATGTTTTTAGGGTCACAAGAGGTCATGTTAAAATAGGCTAAGGTTATAGTACCCCTGAGGCCACTTGAGGAAGTTACAGAAGATGGATCTTTGCCTATCAACCACCCTGTACCCTTTAAGATCAAGGGACAAGTCATTTTTGGAAAATGAGGCAGGATAAGATTAAAGGAAGAAGCCAGGTGCCAGTGGCTCACACCTGTAATCCTAGCTACTCAGGGGGTTGAGATATGAGGATCCTGGTTCAAAGCAAGTCCAGGCAGGAAAGGCCATGAGACTTTTATCTCCAAATAACCCCAGAAAACCATAAGTTGTGCTGTGGCTCAAAGTGGTAGAGCACTAGACTTGAGCTGAAGAGCTCAGGAACAATGCCCAGGGCCAGAGTTCAAGCCTCATGACTCACAAAAAAAAAAAAAAAAAGACTAAAAGGAAGAGACATGGAAAACAGTGGTAATAAGTTTTCACGTGTGGAGACTGCACTTTTGAGCAATGGTTGAAATGGTTACAGGCTCAAGCCTTCTATTATCTGTCTATATTGCCCTGGACCATTGCCTAAAACTGTCCTAAAAACCAATGGGGCCTCAGTCTTTCAAACCTATGTAATGTATCCTTAACCAGTCTGTGTAGAAATTGGCAGGCAACCCAGCAGGCAGTATGCCAACCACTGAAGCCACTGGGAGACACTGCTGCAGCCCAGCCTAGGTCCAGCCCATCTCTGCCAACCTGGAGATTCTATTTAAGTTCAAGGGATGGCCTGTTATTATCTGCTGGACCTGGCATACTCTAAGCCTTCCGATGGGGAAGGGGGGGGAGGGAATAGGATTGATTTATCCCAAAAGGAGGATATAAAAATAAATTATTTGAGCCAGGCATCATGGCTCATGCCTGTAATCCTAGCTACTCAGGAGGCTGAGATCTGAGGATTGAGGTTCAAAGCCAGCCCAGGCAGAAAAGTCCATGAGAAGCTTATCTCTAATTAACCACCAGAAAACTGGAAATGGCGCTGTGGCTCAAGTGGTAGAGTGTTTGCCTTGAGCTGAAGAGCTGAGGAACAGTGCCCAGGCCCAGAGTTCAAGCCCCAGGATGGACAAAAAAAAAAGGGGGGGGGGAGAGGGGCTGGGAAGGTAGCTCAGTGGTAGAGTGCTTGCCTTGCATGTATGAGGCCCTAGGTTCGATTCCTCAGCACCACATAAGCAGAAAAAAATAAAAAGCCGGAAGTGGCGCTGTGGCTCAAGTGGTAGAGCGCTAGCCTTGAGCTGAAGAGCTGAGGGACAGCGCCCAGGCCCAGAGTTCAGGCCCCACAACCGACAAAACAAAACAAACAAAGAAAAACAGTGGGTAATGTGAGAACCAGAGGCATGGGAAGTCCAGCCCAGCTAGAAGTCCAGTCCCACACTATCACCACCAGTATGCCTGGCCGCTGGAGGGCGTCAAAAGGTGGATTGGGCAGTGGGTGGCTTGGGGATGAGGCACCATTCATATATATATATATAATATAGGCTGCGTGTTTCAGGAGGGGGAGAGAAGAGAAAGAAGCTTGCCCACTCAGAGGTCTCGGCTGCTCTTAGTTCTGAGGTAGCCCAGGACAAGGCAGTTGCAGGTCGGCTAATAAAAACTCTTTTGTCACCTTTGACCATGCCTCCGTGGATTTTCTCAACTCCAAGGTCATTCATTTCACAATGTTACAGCATCACTGTTGTCACCCCACTGTACAAGTTTTTCAATTAAAATTTCCAGCTCCTGGGCTGGGAAGGTGGCTCAGTGGTAGAGCGCTTGCCTTGCATGCATGAGGCCTAGGTTCCATTCCACAGCACCACATAAACAGAAAAAAATAACAAGCCAGAAGTGGCGCTGTGGCTCAAGTGGTAGAGCGCTAGCCTTGAGCTGAAGAGCTGAGGGACAGCGCCCAGGCCCAGAGAGTCCAGGCCCCAGGAAAGGATCCCCCCCCCCCAAAAAAAAAAAAAAAGATTTCCAGCTCCTCTTTTCAGATAAGCTTCTCTTCATTCCTGGATCACTTATAGCTTTTCACCTTTTAATTAGAGAGGATCATGTTCTGGTCTCCCAAGGTGTGTCACTTGACATGTAAAACAAGCTCTTAGGGGACTAAGCTGTTTTTCAGTTTACTTCCTGGTTTCATCACCATGAGTTCTGACCATGTGGTATTTGTTTTGGTACTACTTGAGAAAGTGGTAGAACTCAGGTTAATTACTCTGGGAGACCCAGAGTTGTTCCTACTCCAAAGTCTCAGTTATGTGGCTTGAATTCGGGGCCTGGAAACTGTTCCTGAGCTCTTCTGCTCAAGGTTAGGACTCTATCATCTTGAGCCACAGCTCAACTTCCAACCTTTTTGGTAATTAGTTGAAGATAAGAGAGTCAGTCTTTCCTGCCCATGCTGGCTTTGAACCATGATCCTCAGTTCTCAACCTTCTGAGTAGTTAGTATTACAGTTGTGAGGCACCAGGGCCCAGTGGATTGCAATCTTTTTATCTGATAGGACAAAGGAATTTCAAGCCTTGGTTTACCCCAGTGGTTACAGTTTCTCAAAATTACTTGCAGTTGGTGCTGCTCTGGCACAGTCAGGTTTAGCCTGTTCTGATAGTATTTTTCTTTATCATTCTACTTTGATGTTTTTCATATATATGTGTATACATATATATAAGATATACCTAATATTGAATGTATATACATATGTAATATGTTATTGTTAGGTTTTTAAAGAGGTAGCCAAGTAAGAACAGCACCACGCATGTGGTATTCAGGTAAGGGGTAGGTTTATTCATCGTTCTGGCTGGCACCAGGCCATGTTGGCCCTCTATGCTGCGGGGAAAGGCCTGGGAAAGAGAGCTGGGAGAGCTGGGAAAGAGAGAGCTGGGAAAGAGAAGACAGCTAGAAAAAAGAGAGAGTCTGGGCCTGGTCTAGGTCTTATCTAGGGTATGGGTGAAGAAAGGTGTGGCCACATCAAATTCAGATGTGACATCAGGGGATGCAGATGTGACCTCTTCCAGGTGTGCCAGTTGCCTAGGTAATGTAGGTACTGGGCGGAGACTTTGCTGGGAGGAGGGTGGAGTCTGCTAGCCATTCAGGAGCGGACCTTACAGTTATATTAGACATAATATATATCTAATAATATAGAACTTATCTAACATATACATATATATTAGATATTAGATGTATTGTGATACAGGAACTCAATGAGGTATAGAGAGGCTATATGTTAAGAGGTTGAATTGGGAGTCTTCATTGGGGAGCCAACGACTGTGGGAGGACTCCTGTCTCAAAGACCTGCAGCCCCGGATGTTGTTTGCTTGAAGCTTATAAAGGCAAAAACCACATCAAGGCAGATGAGGCATGGTATGGGATTAGCAAGCATGTTTATTGAAACAAAACAAGCCAGTTATGAGATAAGTAAGTGGGGTAATTAGGATTCATTAGAAGTCAACTAGTGGGGACAATAAGGGTAGAGATTTACCAGGATGCAAAAGTCTTAACAATCAGAGGTAAAGGGTAAGGATTTCCTGGAGTCTAATAATCCACGACAATATCTGCAGTTCTGGAAATGACCTATGCCCCATCTAGAGTTCTCAGAATTGAATAAAATATCCCTGGTACCTTTTTTTTTTTTGTTTGGTTGTGGGGCTTGAACTCTGGGCCTGGGCATTATCCCTGAGCTCTTCTGCTTAAGGCTAGTGCCCTACCACTTTGAGCCATAGTGTCACTTTCAGTTTTCTAGTGGTTGATTGGAGTCTCACGGACTTCCTTGCCCAGGCTGGCTTTGAACGTGATCCTCAGATCTCAGCCTCCTGAGAAGCTAGGATTACAGGTGTGAGCTACTGGCACCTGGCTTCTCTGGTACCTATTAAGGTGTTAAGATGGCTATGGGGACAAGATGGCATTGCTTAGGCCCAGTATCCATACTTCAATATCTAATTTTAAAAATATATCTAATATTAGATAAATCAGAGCTATTATAACATTCTATTAGATACATTAGATCTAATATGTATATTAAATATTAGATCTAACATGTATATATAGTAAATATATACTATTAGATATTGTATCTAATAAAATATATATTTTAGATATATTAGATCTTATATATCTAATAGCCATATATGTATACAAAAATATATATTAGATATAGCATATCTAATATATTTAATTTATATCTAATT